AGAAGAAATGTGATAAAACCTCTAAAATTAAAAACTTCCCTAAACAGGGCTGATCTCCTCTCTTGCCCCATGTGGATTCCTCTGCCTGTTGTTTATGTGTGTGTTTTTAAAAGATATTGCTTAATAGTATAACTTTGATTGTTAGTCATACCTTTGAAACTAGAGGGTGAGGCATAAATGCCTTAATAAATAAACAAATGCATTTGCAAACCTTTCAACAAGCAAACCCTCAAAATTACTGTTGAGATGGCCTTTCATTACTTCCTTTGTTTATTTGTTTGGCTTTTAGAAAATAAATTAAAAAATGCTCTTCCTTGATTATAGAAAATAAAGCAATTAACTCTTGTTATTCATACCTCTTGATTAAGAAAAGTAATGTACAGTCGTATAACAGCTTGAAAAATATATCTCCACGTATTATTTTGAAGCTTTCCTATTGGGACCCACTTAATTAAAGACATAAATCCTCTAACTGATGTTAATGCTCATAATTAAATGGGACAATAGGAAAAATCAATGGGCACTCAAACGTCAGACAAATGTGGGAAGAAAACTATAAATAAAAGTGCTTTTTCTACTGTAAGTCCAAATGAGTCACCCATTTGGACTAGTGTGGGAGGGAGCTTACAGTCTCGACTTCATAATGCATATGAAAATTCAATTAAACTCTCAGCCATGAATTACTGTAGGACAAACATCTCCATCAGACAACATGACCTAGTTCTTCCGAGATTTTTTTTCCTGTTTTTAAAACAGGAAAAGTCCATGTTCCAGATATTAAAATTTAGTGGAGAGGTTGTTATAATGCCGTTTACCCCCTTGTTCGTATACTTAACACTGCCTATTACACATAGCGAAAGATTGCAGAAATGCTTTCAGCCTTAAGAAAAGCCCATCCCACTCCACCCCAATGGGTGTGACAGTGTCAGGTCAATTCTCAAAGCTTGCCAGCTGGAGCACCTGCCATTGTTGTCACTATATTTGCCTTAAGCCAATAATTAGCAGGCATTGTAGTAATCTAGGGACACGGGTGGCGCTGTGGGTTAAACCACAGAGCCTAGGACTTGCCAATCAGAAGGTCGGCGGTTCGAATCCCCGCAACGGGGTGAGCTCCTGTTGCTCGGTCCCTGCTCCTGCCAACCTAGCAGTTTGAAAGCACGTCAAAGTGCAAGTAGATAAATAGGTACCACTCCGGCGGGAAGGTAAACAGCATTTCCGTGCGCTGTTCTGGTTCGCCAGAAGTGGCTTAGTCATGCTGGCCACATGACCCGGAAGCTGTACGCTGGCTCCCTTGGCCAATAAAGTGAGATGAGCGCCGCAACCCCAGAGTTGGCCATGACTGGGCCTAATGGTCAGGGGTCCCTTTACCTTTACTGTAGTAATCTAAGCATTAAAGACCTTTGAAAGAACTCTTTGTCCAGTCTTTGTTCTTCAGCCACTGGGAGCAATAGAAGACACAGAATTCAGGCATCACGATCCAGGAATTGAAGAAGACAGCAATATGGTCAGAATTGGACAGAAGCAATGAAGATGTCCACCCTCCTTGTTGTGGAACCTGCTTCTAGTGACGATTTGGCAGACATCCTCAATTTGACTTTCAAGGCACCTCTTGGAGATGCTTATATATGTGTGTGTATTCCTGTTATGACCGCCGCAGGGCTTTCAGACTGTCTTTCCTCTTCTGCCCTCCCTTCCCACCCGCCATGTTGCAAATGGCTCTTTCCAACTCGCATTTATTTCCCCGGAAGACAAAGATGTCAGGAAAGGCAAGCAATTAAGGTGCTATAACGTGCAAAGCTCCGGTTATGCGATAGAACAGAAACTCTCCAAAGCCTGGTAGATATCTTAAGTCAGCTTCCAAAATGGATGGGCGATAACAGCCAACTGACATGGATAAACAATCAATCCCACTAATGCAGGCCATACGTACCTTGTGGTGTGCTGACTTGAAATATCTGGATCGCCTAATGGAAAATGCAAGGCTGTAAGAACTTTGACAATAAATGAAGTGATAAAAAAATAAAATCCATGATGGTTCTCAGACGTATTGTTAGCGTCGAGCAGCTTAGAGCTGTGGCTGACAGCTTATCTCCCATTTTTGATGAAGATGATGGCTCAGCGAGGTTTTTTACAGGCAGAGGAGAAACTGCTTTGCTGGAATCGCACCTTATCAGATGCTTGGCCAGCTCTAACGTAACCCTTTGTAGTTCCATCCCCTTTCCTCCGTCCCCAGGCAACAATAGCTCAAGCAAAGTGTGATATCACTGCGTCTCTAAGCCATGCACATATTTTCAGATGTTAGAGTTTTGCAGGGTCAAGCGATCGTGCTGATCCAGACCATATTCACCCCCCAAGCAATCTCTGAGCGTCCTTCCGAGCCAAAATTTAAAGGCCTGGATGATCCGGTTGCATTGTGACTCATGGGAAGCTGTCGTGCTGATTGGATCATATTGCATATCTGCATTAGAAGATAAATTACCCCTCTTCCAAATTCCATCCTGGCCGTGAAAGTGCTGAAAGGAGGGAGGTAAAGCGGGGGGCACACGAAGTATCATCCCAACCTGCTCTGGATGTGTGAGCTCCACCACCAATTTCCCAACACTATTAGGAAGGTCTGAAGTGGCCTTGCTGACAGCAAGAGTTTCCAGCTCCTAATGGCTTAACAATGCTAACAACAAAAAGTCTTCTCCCCATCCCTCCTAAATTAAGCTGCTGAAATCAAGAAAGCTGGGAGGGGGACAGAGAACAGAAATAGATGTGTGAGAGAGAAATGATTTCTATGTGCACTGTTCAACATTCCTGGGCTGAGCATGTGCTCAGAGCACTTAATTCCTCAAACCTATGATACAGACATAGGAAGATGCTTTATACAGAATCAGAGCATTGGTCCATCTAGCTCAGAATAGCCTACACTGACTGGCAGTGGTCGTCCAGGGTTTCAGACAGGTGTTTCTCCCAGTCCTGCCTGCAGATGCCAAAGACTGAACTTTGGAGATGATCTGCTGCTGAGTTATGGTCCATCCTTGTGTCTTCCTCCTTGAGTCATTGTTTTGGACTTGGCTGCTGTTGGTGGACCTTCTAGTGAAAGACAAACTAGATCTTCCAAGCCAAAGATCTTGTTTGCTCCTGGAAGAGACAATGGCAAGCCAGAGGATACAGTGGTTTGTCTTAGACAGGGCCAGCTCCAGAGCTGTGTTGGGCTGGTGAGCCTGTGGCCCTGCAGATGTTGCAGAACTGAAATTCTCATTGGCCCTAGCCAGCATGGCCAATGGCCAATTTCATCACTAAGCTAGATTCTAGATTTGTGGTTGCATCACCTTCACTCTCAAAGCAGGACATTGTTGCGTGTTTGATTTGGTATGAAATGCCACTGGCTTTGGATCTGACTTTAGTTCTTTCATCACTGATTATTATTATTTTAAAAACAACAACAACCTTCTCAAGATTGAGAGAGCACCATAGCTCAGTGGTAAGATGTCTGCATTGCATGCAGAGAGTCCCTCACTCAATCCATAGCACCTCCAGGTATGTCTCCCATCTGAAACCCTGGAGAGCCATGGCAAACCAGTACTGAGCTTGTGAGACCAATGTTCTGACTTGGTATACTGCAGCTTCCTAGGTTCCTGTGATCCTTTCTTGAAAGCTCATAGCATAACCACCTTTTAAAAAGGTAAAACTAGCATCTCAACATCAGAGCTCTTTGAATGGCCATTGCATGGTTCTGGTGAGGGAAGAGACTCTATCAGGCAAGGCCTCCTTCCACCCGCCTTACCCCACCCTCCAGCCCTAGGAGTCCTCATAAGGGAGCTGTTCCTGGAGGAAGAACTATGAGAGGAGAGACTCCATCAGGCAAGGCCTCTTTCCACCTGCCTTGTCCCACCCTCCAGCCCTGGGTCTCCTCATAAGGAAGCTGTTCCTGGAGGAAGAACTGTGAGGGGAGAGACTCCATCAGGCATGGCCTCCTTCCACCTGCCTTGCCTCTAGTCTCTGCTTCTCAATGTGTATTGTATTGTTTTATGTACTGTGGCTTGCCGTTGTTTCATTGATTATAGTTTAGATATTATTGTAACTGTTGAGTGGATTTCTGTTTAGCTTTTATATGTTGATATTATTTTATACTATTCTAATGATTGTTGAATGTTACTTTTTTGATGGAGGTTGCCTATTTTAAAGTTTTGTTTTATTATCACATTTTTGTATTGCATTAGATTGTTATAAGATGTACATTTTTTGTTTCTTCAGCTTGTAAACCGCCTTGAGTATTGTCAGATAGAAAGGCGGTATACAAATTAAAAATGATGATGATGATGACTCTGTTTGTTTGTGCCAGTCATAGCCATTCACTTCTGCATGAGGCCAGATGTGCTGTAGGGCTGGCAGAAGACCTCACACAGCCCTGAGCTATATGCACAGAGGTGCCATGACTTATTATGCCTTCCATGCATCACCACTGTTCAGCCCCACATGTTGGCTTGGCCATCTAGGTACAAACCACAATTGCAGTGGTACCTTGGTTCCCGAAGAGCTTAGTTGACAAACAAATTGGCTCCCAGACGCCACAAACCCGGATGTAAGTGTTCCGGTTTGTGAAAATTTTTCAGAAGCCAAACATCCGTTGCAGCTGTTTGCATTGTTTCTGGAGCCAATCAGCAGCTGCGCCTTGGTTTTCAAACGTTTTGGAAGTCAAACAGACTTCCAGAATGGATTGAGTACAAGAATCAAGGTACTACTGTATTCATGAAGGGGATCTATGTGGTTTGCAGGCATTATGTGGCTGATGGTATGACTACTCCAGAAACCCATTAAAAAAAACTGTACTTGGGCATCCCTCACATGCTGTGTTTGAAATGCAGAACAAACTGTTTATTGATCTGCAAACTGATCAGGACTGCAGGGATGGGGTTGTTTTTAGTGGCACTACTAATCTAGTTTGGGGTCCAGAAGCTTTGAAATATTTCTGCAGATATATTCCCCTTTGGCTATATATATATATATATATATGTATATGTATATGTATATGTATATGTATATGTATATGTATATGTATATAGATACACACACACACACACACACACACACACACACATATATATATATATATATATACACACACACACACACACACACACACACACACACACACACACACATACACACACACATATATATATACACAGTGGAACCTCGGGTTGTGGACGTAATCCGTGATGGAGACACGTCCGCAACCCGCAGCATTCACATCCTGAAGCGCCGCGTCTGTGCAGGCGCCGGTGCAATTTGGCGCTTCTGCACATGCATGAGCAGCAAAACACGGAAGTAACCCATTCCGGTACTTCCGGGTTTTCTGCAGTCCACAACCTAAAAACACGTAACCTGAAGCGTCCGTAACATGAGGTATGACTGTGTGTGCGTGTATGGCATTGTGTAAATCAGACTCCGAGACAGGAGCATGCTGTTGATGAAGTCTTGCAAACTACAGAGAGCAAAAGTCATTCTAAGGAATGCCTGGCACTTCGCGCTCATTATACAGTCAGTTCCTCGAAATCTTGCGTGTTACGTTTGTGCACCAGTAAGCAGCAAATTGCACTGTAAATAATTGGCAGAATGCCTCTGCACAGCTGCCGGTCGGAGTCATCCACGATGCGTTCTGATGTGCACCTGCCCCGAGGAATGCGAACTCTGCCTCCATCATCTATATTTTAGTCAAGGTCAGCGTGATCTGCGCACCACGGGAAGCAAGCTTATTGAACGTACACATTGCGCGATGATACCTTGGAACCCGCAGCACTGCTGGAAGCTGCAAGAGCTCCAATGAGATTATGTCTGTCCTGGGGGCCTTTTTCAAAACTGGCACTCATTGCCACCAGGCAGCTGCTATTTTACAAAAGAACAGCCTGCTAGATCAGGGCTGCAACCCATCTTCTACTACTTACTACTACTATTATTATTATTATTGCTTTTATTTATCCTGAACTCACCAGAACTGAGTTCCGGCACCTCTCAGGTCATTGCCATTATAAGAGAATTCATGTTTTGTTCCAGCACCTCTTTTTTTCTAGAAAAATGGTACTGATGATGATGATGATAATGATTAAAATTTCTATACAGCCCTTCATCCGAGGATAACAGGGAGGTTTGCAATATAAAAAACACAGAACATGTAACATAGTAACAAACAAAAACAATACTCTCCAGTTTAAAAGACTGTAGAATGTTTAATCAGCCAAAAGCCTGGTGATAGAGAAACGTTTTCTCCTGGCGCCTAAAGATATATAACTAAGGCACCAGGCGAGCTTCCCCAGGGAGAGTGTTCCACAAGCGGGGAGCCACAACAGAGAAGGCCCCATTCTCATGGTGCCACCCTCTGGACCTCTCATGGAGGAGACATGTGAAGAAGGGCCTCAGATGATGATCACAAGGTACAGGCACCTTGAGGCACCTAATCGAGCATCCTGGTCTCCCAGTGGCCAATCAGAGGCCTGTGGGAAACTCACAAGCAGGACCACAGCACACGAGTTGCCTTTCAGCAACTGATATTCAGAAGCACATACAGTACCGGCTGACATTTCTCCAGTGAAAATAGGGACACTCTAAGGAAATTAGGTGCTGTGGTGTAAACCACTGAGCCTAAGGCTTGCCGATCGAAAGGTCGGCAGTTCGAATCTCCGCGACAGGGTGAGCTCCTGTTGTTCAGTCCCTGCTCCTGCTAACCTAGCAGTTCAAAAGCACCTCAAAGTGCAAGTAAATAAATAGGGAAGGTAAATGGTGTTTCCGTGCACTGCTCTGGTTTCGCCAGAGGTGGCTTAATCATGCTGGCCACATGACCCAGAAAAACTGTCTACGGACAAATGCTGACTCCCTCAGCCAGTAAAGCAAGATGAGCACTGCAACTCCAGAGTCGTTCGTGAGGGGACTTAACTGTCAGGGGTCCTTTTTAAGGAAATTTGGGGAAAATATTTCAGGATCAAATCAGAAACCAGGACTTCTTCTGTAAATCAGCGACTGTCCATGGGAAATAGGGAGACTTGGAGGGTTATGGAAGCATTTCTGCCTCCAGCCGTGAAGGTGGAACATAGCTATTGGGGTTAGTAGCTATTGACCGCCTTACCTGCCACTTGTAAGAGCGAATTCCAGGGTCTAACTATGCATTGTGTACATTCTTTTGCATTTTCCAACACTCGCTTTCATGGAGTCTCTTCTCAGCCCACACACCCTTCATGCCTTTCCGGAGTGCTTTTGTCTGGCTGAAATGTGTCCTTGAGCTCTAGCGACGCTTCCTGCTTGCCTCAGTGGAGGCTAGAGAGGGATGTGTAGAAACTGGCTTCCTGTACAAGGGTAAAAATGGCATCCACTGCTTTGTCCATTTTTGCCTCTAGCTCCACCCACCACTTGCATGTGGCTCCCAAAAGGTTGTGCAGATGAGAAGGCAGCAGTGGTGTAGCATGGGTTGCCAGAGCCCAAGGCTGTGCAGAGGGTTGGGAGGGAGGGAAACAGACGGTGTACCCATCCCCATTCAACTGCCTAACGGCATTTGTGTCACCCAGGAGATCACAGCTGCAGAGATAAGAAAAGAAGAGTCATTCCGTTGTCTGGTTTGCACAGGGAAGAAATTTTCAACAGGGTACAGCGACCCTGGACCGTAGATACGAGGGCCCACGGCCTAGGACCCTCGTACCTACGGGACCGCCTCTCCCTGTATGCCCCACAAAGGACCTTAAGGTCCATAAATAGCAACACCCTAGAGGTCCCGGACCCTAAGGAAGTCAGATTAGCCTCAACCAGAGCCAGGGCCTTTTCAACACTGGCTCCAGCCTGGTGGAACGCTCTGCCTCATGAGACCAGGGCCCTGCAGGATCTGATTTCTTTCCGCAGGGCCTGTAAGACAGAGTTGTTCCGCCTGGGCTTTGGCTTGGAGCCAATCTGATTCCCTCCCCCTCTTTCTTTTCCTTTCCCCTCCTGTAAGGCTGCATTTTAATATTTAAACATTTCAATATTTTAATGTTGTATTTTAATCTTGTTTTTAAGTTGTATTCATTCAGCTTGTTTTTATTATTGCTTGTTAGCCGCCCTGAGCCCGGCCTTGGCTGGGGAGGGCAGGGTATAAATAAAAATTATTATTATTATTATTATTAGAAGCATGAAGCTGTATTAAGGCAGCACTGGGCACTGACATTTTTGCGCCCCTAACCATTTTGCACTCAGGGCAACTGCCCCTGTGGTCCTCCCCCCCCCCCCGCTATATCACTCAGTCTGCAAAAGCTCTCTCCCCCCTCTAAGACCTTGCACTCATCACAAAATCTCTCAGCTTAGCCTACCTCACAGGGTTGTGGCAAGGGAAAAGATTGTAGAGAGCTATGGTTGCCCCCTTGAATTCTTTGGAAGAAAGCTCGGGTTTCTATGTACTAATTAAAAGAAAACTAAGAAAAGAAGCATTGGTATGTAAGATATGTACACACGTTACCGTGAACTCCTTAGGAAAAGATAGAAAGCAAATGAGAAAAGAAAAGAAGGGAGGAGACCTCATTTGAGTGTAGACTAGCCTTCCCTCTTTTTTATATATATATTCAACAGATGACTATATATATAAATGAAGTATCAACTATAAAAGAGAAAATACTGAACATAGAACTTTATCATCTCTATACTTATCATTCCAGTATATTATAAAAATCGACTCTATACTTCTGTTAGCTATTTGGTTTCCTGCTCAAGCTATAATGTAATCGATCAATTTCCCTATAAATTACATAGTTGGTTTTTTTATTGCTGGGGAGGTAGTATATACTCCCAATATTTCTGACAAGTTCATGATATTGGGAGTAGCTACTTTTTTCAGTTAGAAGCCACAACCTAAATATCTTCCTCTGCCCCAATATGCTCCATGAGCTCCACAGAGTTAAACTTTGGAACTTCCTCCCACTGGAGTCAGTTATGGCCGCCAACTTAGATGGCTTCAAAAGATTGAACAAATTCAGGGAGGACAAGACTCAAAGACTACTAGCTACAATGGCTATGTTCTACCTCCACTGTCAAACCACATGTACTAAACAAAAATGAAATAGCTAATTCAGCTTCAGGAAAGTTGCTGTATTTTCTCAGCTACTGGAGTCAAAGGTCCCTTTTCTGAAAGCCTATGTTTTATCATGCAGAAAGGGATGTGTGAGGTATAGCAATGCCCCTGTAATTTTTCTTTGTCCTTAAAATAACAACAACAACAACAACATCAACAAAAATCCGAATTACTGTTCCAGTGTTTTCTCCATTTTATATTTCATTCTGTTCTCTTATAGCAGTTGGTTGTCAGTACAGCAATAAACCAACACTGACTTTCAAAAGCCTTTTTAATACTATAAAACTGCAAGTATCAGCAATAATGCTTTCACAACATTTAATAGATATTTTGCTTCCGTAAGTTCTGTTAAGTGCACAGGCTGGGTGACCTGTTCCCGGCCAGAGAAATCACTGCTGAGAGAGAGAGAGTATAAGCCTCATTTACACTATACATTTAAAGTTTCACCATAGCACTTTAAACAGTCAGGGCTACTCCCAAAGAATTCTGGGAGCTGTAGTTGGTTAAGGGTGCTGAGAGTTGTTAGGAGAAACACACACACCCCATTCCCCTCACAGTTCTACAATTCTCAGAGTAGCTTAACAATCAACTCCTCTTTGCAGGGAACTCTGGGAACTGTAGTTCTGTGAAGGGAATTGGACAGCTCATAGCAACTCTCAGCACCCTTCACAAACTGCAGCTCCCAGAATCCCTTTGAAGAAGCCATGGCTGTTTAAAGTAGTATCACAGTACTTTAAATGCATCATATAAATGTGTCCTCTGTGTGTGTGTGTGTGTGTGTGTGTGTGTATCGCCCTATATATACCGTATTTTTCACACCATAGGACGCACCGGACAATAGGACGCACTTTGTTTTAGAGGGGGGAGAACAAGAAAAAAAAAATTCCCCCTCTCTGCCCAGCGCCCCTTCAGCGAAGCGGCAGGAGGCGCTGCGCAGAGAGAGGGAGAATTTTCCCCCTCTTGTTTTCCCGCTCTAAAACAAGGTGCCGTTTAAGGTGCATTCAGGTGGC